CACTTCTCCCCCTCCCCCGTTTTCCCCCCGTCCCCTTTTTCTTCTTCATCATCCTCCTCCTCCTCCTCCCTTCCCCGCCGCCCCCCGGGGCCGCGCCGCGCTCCCACCTCAGTCTCGCGCCGCCGCCGCGCTCCTCGCACTGCGCATGCGCGGGAAGGGACGGCGCCGGCCCCGCCGCCGGGCACAGCGCCCCCTGGCGGCCGGAGGAGCGAACTGCCACCCCCCGGTACAACTAGTACCCAAAGACGGGGGGTCACTAATTGGGTGGCGATAATGAAGGGTCGTTAATGGAGTGGCCTCATCGAGGGCAAATCGTGCCCGACAAATTTGGTGGCCTCTTACGGTGCCGCCACACACTTGGCAGAGCAGCTGACGGCATCTAGCTGGAGTTAGTGCAACGCATCGGACGCCGTCCCACACGACATCCCGGGCTCTGAACTGGAAACCCAAGGATCTGATGGATGGAGCACTCGGTGGATAAGGAACTGGCTGATGGTCACACTCACAGAATCACAGAATCATATAAGGTTGGCAGGGACCTCTGGAGATCATCTCCTCCAACCCCCTGCCAGAGCAGGTCCATCCAGAGCAGGTCCCACAGGAACGTGTCCAGGTGGGGTTTGAATGTCTCCAGAGAAGGAGACTCCACCACCTCTCTGGGCAGCCTCTTCCAGGGCTCTGCCACCCTCAAAGTGAAGAAGTTCCTCATCATGTTGAGATGGAACTTCTTATGTTCAAGTTTGTGCCCATTTCCTCCTGTCCTGTCCCTGGGCACCACTGAGAAAAGCCTGGCCCCATCCTCCTGACACCCTCCCTTGAAGTATTTATTGATCAGATCCCCCCTCAGCCTTCTCTTCTCCATGAGCACATGGAGACCACCCTCATCCCCCGAGCTGGAGTGAGCTACACATCTGGGCAGAACAAGGTCTCATTCAGCCCCCCCTGCTCCAGGACACGTCCGTATCGAGGTGCCCAAAACTGGTGAGGTGTGGCCTGAGAACAGGGGGACAGCCCATGGCATGGAGACCACTCTCATCCCCCGAGCTGGAATGAGCTACACATCTGGGCAGAGCAAGGTCCCATTCAGCCCCCCCTGCTCCAGGACACGTCCCAGAGCTTGCAGGGCCTCCTCATGTCCCTGTCCCCCCCCGCAGTGACGCTGAACTCACCTTTCCCGTCTGGCTGAGGCACACCGTGTGCATCCCCCCTGCTTCCACCTGCACCATCATCTCCGGCAGCGTCACCAGAGCCGGCTTCTTCCTCTCCATCACGTCCTCCCCCAGGCCCAGCTGACCCACATCCCCCTGCCCCAGCGTCAGCACCAGCCCAGGCTGCGTGCGATGGGACGAGTGGCAGACTGCGGGGCAGGAAAAAAGTTAAAATAAATAACATATATAACATACAGGGAACAACATGACCATTAAAGCCGGTCCCTGGGAATGGGGAGGGAAAACTTTTTCTTACCTTTGATCTTCTTCGGTTCAGGAGACTCTTCTTCTGGCACCAGGCTCTTCTTCGCTGGGCGTTTCCCTGGCATCGTGCCTCGGATCTGAACAGCAAAGAGCCCCTGGTAAAGGTTTCGCTGGAGAGTCCCAGCGCGGCCCTGACCCCTTTGGGGGCTTCTTCTCCCCTCTCTTCCTTAAAAATCCCCTGGGATCACCTGAAGGGCCGGTGATGGAGGATCTCCCGCTTTGGAAAAAGGCAGGGTGGGATGGGGGGGTGTTTTACGCACTGTCCCCACTCTCAGGTGGAGCTGAGCCCCTCTCTCCGGGCCACAGCGCCCCAAAAATGCCACCAGGCAACGCGTCGGACGCCGTCCCACACGACATCCCGGGCTCTGAACTGGAAACCCAAGGATCTGATGGATGGAGCACTCGGTGGATAAGGAACTGGCTGATGGTCACACTCACAGAATCACAGAATCATATAAGGTTGGCAGGGACCTCTGGAGATCATCTCCTCCAACCCCCTGCCAGAGCAGGTCCATCCAGAGCAGGTCCCACAGGAACGTGTCCAGGTGGGGTTTGAATGTCTCCAGAGAAGGAGACTCCACCACCTCTCTGGGCAGCCTCTTCCAGGGCTCTGCCACCCTCAAAGTGAAGAAGTTCCTCATCATGTTGAGATGGAACTTCTTATGTTCAAGTTTGTGCCCATTTCCTCCTGTCCTGTCCCTGGGCACCACTGAGAAAAGCCTGGCCCCATCCTCCTGACACCCTCCCTTGAAGTATTTATTGATCAGATCCCCCCTCAGCCTTCTCTTCTCCAGACTAAAAAGCCCCAAGTCCCTCAGCCTTTCCTCAGCAGAGAGATGCTCCAGGCCCCTCATCATCTCTGTAGCCTCTGCTGTCCCCTCTCCAGCAGTTCCCTGTCCTTCTTGAACTGGGGAGCCCAGAACTGGTCCCAGTGCTCCAGCTGGGGCCTCCCCAGGGCAGAGCAGAGGGGCAGGGTGACCTCCCTCCACCTGCTGGTCACACTCTTCCTGATGCCCCCCAGGATGCCATTGGTCTTCTTGGCCACCAGGGCCCATTGCTGGCTCATGGGCATCCTGGTGTCCACCAGGACTCCCAGGTCTTTCTCCTCAGAGCTGCTCTCCAGCAGGTCCCCCCCAACCCGTCCTGGTGCAGGGGGTTACTCCTCCCCAGGTGAAGCACCCTACACTTGCCTTGGTTGAATTTCATCCAGTTCCTCCCTGCCCAGCTCTCCAGGTCTTGCTGTGTGGCACTCAAAGGGTTGTGGTCAATGGCTCAATGTCCAAGTGGCGGCCAGTGACGAGTGGTGTTCCTCAGAGGTTGGTACTGGGACCAGTGCTGTTCATCTTTGTTGGAGACATGGACAGTGGGATCGAGCGCACCCTCAGTGAGGTTGCCGATGACACCAAGCTGTGTGGTGTCATCAACACGCTGGAGGGAAGGGATGGCATCTAAAGGGACGTGGACAGCCTGGAGAGGTGGGCTCGTGCAAATGGCATGAAGTTCAACCAAGTCAAGTGCAGGGTCCTGCCCAGCGCGGCCCTGACCCCTTTGGGGGCTTCTTCTCCCCTCTCTTCCTTAAAAATCCCCTGGGATCACCTGAAGGGCCGGTGATGGAGGATCTCCCGCTTTGGAAAAAGGCAGGGTGGGATGGGGGGGTGTTTTACGCACTGTCCCCACTCTCAGGTGGAGCTGAGCCCCTCTCTCCGGGCCACAGCGCCCCAAAAATGCCACCAGGGCAGGCCAGGCCGGGGAGGGCCCAGTGTGTGTGTGTGTGG